AGTTTAATAATAATAATAATAATAATAATAATAATAATAATAATAATAATAATAATAATAATAATAATAATAATAATAATAACAAAATTAATAATAATAATAAATAATAATAATAATTATAATTATTATTACTATTTTTATCATTATTATTATAATAATAATTATTATTATTATTATTATTATTATTATTATTATTATTATTATTATTATTATTATTATTATTATTATTATTATTATTATTATTATAGTAGTAGTAGTAGTAGTAACAGCAGCAGTAGTAGTAGTAATTTGTTATTTTTTTTCGAGAATTTATTAATTTATTCATTAATTTATTATCCTCTTTAATTATTTAATTGTTTTTTATATTAAAAATATTCGTTCCTTATAAAAAGTAACTGGTACATATCTTTTATTCTTTCTAATATTCACGGAACATGTTAGGCATGTTCTCTGACTGATCAAGAGTCCTTATTTAAAATTAAGTATTCTGAAAAATTGTATCGTCACAAAAAATGCAATCGGAAGAAGGAAATGAAGGAGAAACTAAAATCATATCGTTCAATATTCAAAAATAAAAATGCTGTCAGTTTATCGTTGTTGTATGTTGCCTCTTTTGAAATAAAGGAACAGATGATGTCGTTTTGCGGGCGCAGCGGGAAATACCATTACAGGTCGCGGTGTCTGCCCAAATAACGGTCTGTCCCGGCCATTACAGGTCGTGGGGTCCGCCCAAATAACGGTCTGTCACGGCGACATAAAGACTCCTGTCAGCAGGTCGGGGACTCTTTTTATAAACAGCAGCAAAAGTAATTAAATCTAACAGCAGGTTCCAAAGAAATGGTAAGAGAGAAAGAGTAAAATCTTTCTAGCTCAGTGTGTTTTCAAAGACTCATTTAAGAGACTGTATCTTTTTGAGTGGTAATGTCATTGTTAGATTGTTTAATTTTTCATACGTCTAGTACAACTTTTAAATTTGTTAGGGATGGTGTCGGTGGGTGGGTGTTGTTATAATTAATTACCCCAATAATTAAAAGAATATCACATATAATGGGCATTATTATTAGGAAAAATGAACACTGCCGATATACAGTACCTTAAATTTGTTATATGTTGTCATTATCTATTTGTAAGACAATAAAAGTCGATATTTATCCTCAACTGTGAAATATGTTCTGAAGGCATACTAGGATACGTGTAACATCTCGATCTGAATATGAGACTGAACTAAAGAGATAAGTGAATGTAATAGGGAAATATCCTTTTTCAAAGAACGAGACTTGTTCCATGACACTTTGTATTCTAACATCCATATAAAATTTTGCATCAATGGCAACATTTAAAGTACTGAGCTTATTGAGTTTGCTTCGTCACAAATAAACAATCATCTAATGGACGCTTTAAAACGGGGACTTATCTCTCAGACCGAGTAAAGTGATACATGATGATGACGCTTCTACCGCCCAAAGCATCAAAAACTGCTGTTTGGAAATGAAAAAAGTAGACACAACTGCATTCTTTAATTATTATCATAACAATGGAGGCGGATTTGAATATAATTGCAACAAAAAATAAAAATAATCAAAAAATAAAGATAATTATTCCATGGATATTTGAAAGTTTCAAATGAATGTCATTGCAAGAATGCAAATCTATCATAATCATTCTCTATCACAAACCTTTTCACATATTTAAAACAAAAACACATCTGAATGAAACAAAGAAAAAAGGCTGATTAATTTCCTTCAATAACTTTTCGTGTTTGCTTGCAAAAAGCATAAATTAGATTTTCCTATTTTATTATATTTGGTCTCACATATATAATGACTACTGGATATGAAATTAGGTATGACAAAATAGCATGTTTTGGTAAAAACAGTGGATCTAATTATTAATATAAACTCACTAATACAACATTATTGTTTGCTTTTTGGTTAGGTTCTTTATGACATTAAGGCCGGATCAAAGTGAACTAAAAAATCTTTTATAGTCTAGGTTTTGTTTTGATACGAAATAACTTATATAAATAAACGTACACAGACTGCAAACAATATCTGTAAACTGTACAGTTCCATTATCAAATAAAGTAATTCAAGATAAAATGACTTTTGTTTTGAGGTTGATTTCGATACTCCACGAACAAGAACACACACACACACATACACACACACATATATACGTATATATATATATATATATATATATATATATATATACGTATATATATATATATATATATATATATATATATATATATATATAATGCTTCGTATGTAGGCTCGTACAAACGTACCAAGAAAAGAAGAGTGAAGCCAAGAAGCTTTGTAAAATGTAACAAACAATTTATTATTTCCCTAGAAAAACAAGGTAAAATTAAGGAAAAGGACATACGATCTATCTATCTATCTATCTATCTATCTATCTATCTATCTATCTATCTATCTATCTATCTATCTATCTATCTATCTATCTATCTATCTATCTATCTATCTATCTATCTATCTATCTATCTATCTATCTATCTATCTATCTATCTATTTTGCCATCCATCCATCCATCCATCCATCCATCCATCCATCCATCCATCCAATCCATCCAATCCATCCAATCCATCCATCCATCCATCCATCCATCCATCCATCCATCCATCCATCCATCCATCCATCCATCCATCCATCCATCCATCCATCCATCTGTCTATCTATCTATCTATCTATCTATCTATCTATCTATCTATCTATCTATCTATCTATCTATCTATCTATCTATCTATCTATCTATCTATCTATCTATCTATCTATCTATCTATCTATCTATCTATCTATCTATCTATCTATCTATCTATCTATCTATCTATCTATCTATTTAAGCCGAGACACGAATACTTGCAAACAGAGGTGGGAAGGGTGAGTGTTCTTTAAAGGAAAGCAACTTTGACCATTTTTTCACTGGGACCCCTACAAATTGGGTGTGGCAAATACATACGGTCAAACCTAGTTATATAGTGATATAGTATTCAAGGGAATATAAATGCTGATTTAAAATATTAAAAAAGATCTATTTAAGTATGTTTTAGGAAAGAAGCAGATTACAGATTACATAAAAAGGTGATAAATATTGTAATATGCATCATTAACAATGATAGGAATACAGTCTAAGTTATCGTAACAACACAAAGCCAATCTACAACGACTTGACAAATACTTTGATAGAATTTATGGACAATAAAGTTCGATTTAAAATAGCACAATTCGGTATATGATGGAACGGTTTTATATTCAATAATACGAATAGCAAAATTTAAAATAACGCTGAAATTATTCATACATTTAAAATGGTTGACGAAAAGTGGCTAACTGCTGAAAATAAATGTTCTACTGTTGATTGTTGATCTGTAAATTTCTCTATAGCGCCTAAACACAATTTATCAAGCATTAAGTACTTTTAGAAGTTTTTATATCGTTTTAAATGCACATAAAGAACTATTTATAAGAAAATTTTACTATCAAACACAGTATTAGTTTGGGACAACCGAAATCTAAATTCATTCAAAAGTGTGTGTGTTGAAATTATGTGACTCCTTGTCAAAACATATTTGCCTGATTTCACAAGAGAAAGTTTAAATTTATTTAAGTCAATAATCTAGTTTACACTTTAGACGATTTAAGAGGTGAGAATGTAGCGGGATTTTTTAAAGGATAGGAAATAGCTTTAGAAGTGTGTCAACTTAACCTTTATAAGACTGAATTGATTTTGAAACTCAACGAATGAATGGTAAAACATATGTACATATACTCGTAAAACAGAAAGGTCAAGATAGTAAAATCACAGCTGTAAACCAGCTAAATACGTAGTATCGATATAAGTACTAAATTTACAAGAAATACTATCTAGAGATTTTTTTTATCTCGGATGTTACAGAAGGAGAGAAGTAAGGAATTAGAAGTTAAGAATAGTACATGCTGATTAACCGACGTCATAGAGTGACTGAAGACGTTAATACAGACTGCTTATACGTCTTTCAACTACGATGTCATAGAGTGACTGAAGACGTTAATACAGACTGCTTATACGTCTTTCAACTACGATGTCATAGAGTGACTGAAGACGTTAATACAGACTGCTTATACGTCTTTCAACTACGATGTCATAGAGTGACTGAAGACGTTAATACAGACTGCTTATACGTCTTTCAACTACGATGTCATAGAGTGACTGAAGACGTTAATAGAGACTGCTTATACGTCTTTCAACTACGATGTCATAGAGTGACTGAAGACGTTAATACAGACTGCTTATACGTCTTTCAACTACGATGTCATAGAGTGACTGAAGACGTTAATACAGACTGCTTATACGTCTTTCAACTACGATGTCATAGAGTGACTGAAGACGTTAATACAGACTGCTTATACGTCTTTCAACTACGATGTCATAGAGTGACTGAAGACGTTAATACAGACTGCTTATACGTCTTTCAACTACGATGTCATAGAGTGACTGAAGACGTTAATACAGACTGCTTATACGTCTTTCAACTACGAAGGATTAGGATGAAGAATATATAGAAATTAAAGGTAATCCGTAGAATCAATAATCCATTTAATCCAGCTGTCAATGCATGTAGATAGATTCAACGGTGGGAACAATATCGAATTTCTATGAATCTTTGCTCCAGGTGAATAATAACTAAAGATATTTCCCGAAAGATCGGAAATTTTTGATCGTTAAAGTCCAATCTGGTTAAAACAGCTAGATGTGATGTGATGTGATTATGATTTTTAACGTAGCTTTAACAATTTTTCAGTCATATCGCTACGATGTCTGCAGTATGTCAGTTTATAGCTATGTCTAGAATTGGGGCATCATGCCGCAGACATGTAGCATGATGTCCCACCCAGTCACATTATCCTGGCACCAGGCCGACTAGTCCTAACACTAACCTCTTAATGTTGAGCGTCAAGCGAGGCAGCTGTTAGTACCATTTTTATAAGTCTTTGGTATGACTTGACCGGGGATCGAACCCACGACATCACGCATCTGAGGCAGACGCTCTAACCACTAGGCCACCGGAGCGAATGAGAACGGCTAGAAGAACAGTAAATGTAATGTTCATTTGGTATAATAAGACTGAAGTTCAGAACACCAATAACATGAGAAAAATGTTTGAGACAATAGAAAGAATGTTCGAGATGCTGAATATGAAATTTTCACAGGAAGTAAGTGCGGATCCACACTTAAGTATGTGTATGCCGTGTGTTTTACGAACTGTGGAACTGCTTCTGTATCAGTAGTCTCGTTACCGTCCTACTTATGTAACTACGTATTTGATTAACATTATTTCAATGTTGTTAACATCACAATTGTTCGCATCTTCAGTAACTTTCAGACTTGATGATAAAATGAACCATTAACACATTACATCACATCCAAGGAACTACTGCTTGTAAACGCTTTTCATATTTATTAATTTTAAGAGTATATGTGATGCAATGATGCTTTAAACTTTTTATAACATCCGATATTCTTGTTTGTTTGAGTTATTAATTTTTCTATACGTTCCCAAGAAAGTATGGAAAATAAAATACGTACCTCATGAATGCTCCTCTTAGCTCTTGAAGTATGATGTGATAACACAAAAGTCTTAAGAAATATTTGTAGGATTTGGTACTCTTCATCTCAGATGCTTTGATCCTACTAATCTGTCTTCAATTTGTATTCCATCCATACATTAATTCCCATACAAACAGCTATAAATGTTTCCTTATATTTAATATTCTCGTTAGAGGTGTGGTAGAAATCACTAAGATGAGGGTGATTGAGTTCTCCAAAGAGACGTCTGTATTTACGGCACCAAAGATTGCTAAGACATCATCCAAGTTGTTTAAGTACTGGCTTCCCAAACCTCGTTGTTTCAACCTTTCATAAAGGTGTTATGTATATTTGATATGTATTATTTGTTGGCATTTCTTAACGATTATATCTTATCTGTATTTTGTACTTGACTTTTGGCCAAAATAAAGTTAATGATGTAGCTGACGAGTGACATTTTTTTATATACAACATAATATATATATATATATATATATATATATATATATATATATATATATATATATATATATATATATATATATATATATATATATATATATATATATAATATTTCTCTATGAGTGTGAATTCAATATTCAAATCATTATTATTAGTAAACATATTTACTCTTTCGCTAGTTTGAGATTAATAATAAATCTAGATTTAAATACGGTTGGTTTAGTTCAGGTATGGGTCTTCCATTAACAAATATGTGACATGAATAGAAATAATCTTCATTGGTGTTGGCGCCCTCTCCACATAAAGAACTAAAAAAGTCAGTTAAAGCATCTCTTTAGATTCGCTGCTGTAGGTTTTTGGGTCTATAATCGACAATTTTATATCACCATGTTTAAAGGTTTTCAAAGTATTAGATTTTTAAACCGTGATAGACTGAAGTCCATTAGACACGTAATTGGATGCATACCATATGAAATAATGTTCCATAAACTGACATTGTATGACGTAAATGATTTCCTTAAAGGAGCATGCCAGCATGCGACTGAAATAACGTCAGACATGTTACGTAATAGATATCAGCTTATTTACATTATATAAAGAAGAATACATTTTTCTAAACATGTGGTGCATCGCCGTTGATAATTCTTTGAAGAAGTTAAAAGCTTTGAATTACTGGTTATTCTTTTATTTACGGAAATTAAACCTGTTACTAAAAATAAACTATTTTCTTTTGCATAACAAGATATATCATTGATAATACGGGTACCTTCAAGATATACTTTTCTATTGTAAAATAATTGAACTCTCACGACTGTTCCAAGCGACACTGGTATAATCCTAAAAGGGTCTAATATATGTCCAATACAGTTTTTAAATATGCATTTTGGAAAGCTTACGCATTTAATTCTCTCAACATTTCTCATTTGGTTTTCCTATTTTGGTTATCTTTAATATATTGTCGTCAATTTGAATAGTAAACACAAGGTGTCTATGAGAATTAAAACAGTGTGGACGTTTTCAGATAGTTCAAGCTCTTGTATATTTAACCATTTTGAGAAAAATATTACTTATTGTTTTCAATGTGATGAATGCCACAGTTTTGACAAATCATTGTGTTATTCCAAATCATTGGTTTAATAATATCACTTGCATAAAACAAGAATAATAAAGGACCAAAAGCTAAACCTTAGGGTAGTCCTTCATTTATTTTTCATAACACTAGGTATCGAATTCATAATAAAAACACTTTGCTCACAATCAAATAACTAACTTTCAAACCAGCGAAGTAGTTCATAATTTATTCCATATTCCCCAAGTTTAAAGACAAGTCCTTGATGCCATACTCTGTCGAATGCCTTATTGCAAGTACACCATAAACCATCCTCATTGTTTTCTCTTGATAGATATAGAATATGGTAAATCGACTAATTGTAAATAGTATAGCGTTCGAAGGTAAGAAGCCAGATTGTTACATTCTTATTCGTTTGATAGGCACTTGTATCATAGAACTTGATGTCATCAATCATGGAACTTTAAATCCTTTTGTCTCAATATGAATGCATAAAAATCACCATTAGTCATGAGTCTCATTCCACCATATTACATGTTTTTCAACTTGGCAAATAATTAATATATATCAAGAACTTGCTTAACTCTAACACTTTGAAACCAGCTTAAATTAGTCTTGCTTATTTGATTATCATGTTTTTTTCTTCAAACTGAATAACGCTAAGCCAGCGTCAGTAATTATTTTACTAGCAACTGGTTGATCTTTCAGGCATATGAAAGATTGATTATTTCATTTGGATATAGTTTTAATTGTAATTCCTTTGCTGAAATTTTCGAGCTATTTACAAAACTCTTTTTTATTAATTTGACGATTGTCATGAAATTATTTTTTAGCTTTTTTTTTCTAAAATTCCTGTTTAGATATATGTAAAACTCAGACCAATGTTCCAACAAGACAACTATCTATATCTTTCTCCATAAGTCAAACATTTTTCTCTAATGAACTTCAAAACTTGAGCTAGGACAAGACGTTATACTTAAATGCAAATGACGTTTGCCGTTATTCAACTTGGTCAATTACTCCTAAATAACTAACATTCTTTCTGTAAATGGCATTATTCCATCTCTTCCTTTCTTGCAATACAAAATTTTAATAACATCCACTTTACTCAAACTAGACTAGTCTATTTGTAATTTGAACGTTCTCAAATCCCAAAAATTTACAACAACGCAATTTTTTTTTTATCGGCAACTCACACAATAACTTATTTCTGGATAAGTTGTACGCCAATACATATGTATATTCATTCAATAATCGTCCTGCAACCTCTCCATAATGGTATCACATCCCCAAGCTGATGAATAAAGTGCACCAAAGGTCTATATTCTCAATTTATCTCAGCAATGTTCGATCTTTGTTCACGGAGGTACTTGTCCCCTGGGGAAGTGATTTCTGTAAAATCCATGTCAATTTATAAAACAAAATTATATGCCACTGTCAAGAAAACAAACCTAAAAATCGAACCATGATTTTAAAAGTGACTAATGATTTTTTTAAAAAATGGACCATGTTGTCTCGTTATCAAGCTAATTATACTTTACAATACTCAGTTAAATCCTTTGATTATTCACTCCACTTTGGGAGGGGAAAAAAGATATTTCAAATATTTGTCACTCCGCACTTCACTGGGAAAGGAATATGAATGTGCAATACACGTTTAACATTTGTCAGTCTCACCAAGCATGGAATTCCAAACTTTTGTCTACAACAAAATGTCAACCAAGCATGGAATTCCAAACTTTTGTCTACAACAAAATGTCAACCAAGCATGGAATTCCAAACTTTTGTCTACAACAAAATGTCAACCAAGCATGGAATTCCAAACTTTTGTCTACAACAAAATGTCAACCAAGCATGGAATTCCAAACTTTTGTCTACAACAAAATGTCAACCAAGCATGGAATTCCAAACTTTTGTCTACAACAATGTCAACCAAGCATTCATCATTTCAGATTAAAAGGACCCAACTGACTTCTGTATGATAAAAAGTTCTCCTTTGCAACACAGCTATCAAGGGAGTATTATTCGATAGCTATTGTGGAAAATGACTGCATTCCGACTCTAGTTCTCCCTTGCCAATACCTATTAGATGATATCTTCCCATGCGCAATTGACGCCTGTTAACTTTCAGTTTCACAGCTTCCATGATCATGAAAGAAAAAATTTGTGTAGCTTCATAACGAAATATGTACTGTTATGAAAACAGTACTTTGGAACGTAGTATCCGTATCTCCATCAATAAAGAGGTGAAGCATACTAACATTGAAAGAATCGAATAAATGCGTTAAATTTGTATGTTAGGTCAAAGACGATATTACGTAATGCTATGATGGGTTTGATGAGAACGCTGTGTTCCCTTTAATCATGCACAACACCAACCCATACTTTATCTCTAGATACAGAATATTATGTTTGTTATGCGATAAAACAAAACTTGCACGCGATTCCACTGATAAGAAATGATAAAAAATAGTTTCGGTTTTCGTATTAAGCGATGTTTGTTTTTCTCTAAACTTCTTTCTCAGTCATCACATCTGGAGAAATATAACGAGATCTGACTATCAGCTATGGATTGCTGATTTAAACACGTGTTTATCTTTATGGTAAACTTTGGGTTCTCGTTTGATCCACGTTTTATCAGATTTTGCTTTCAACAAGCTTGTAAAATGAATTGACGCGCAGTCACGGTCGTTAGCGACCTCTTTACCCGAAGTCATTGAAAAGCAGCGCCATAGCACGGTAGAAAGATATTCACCAGCTACAGTAGTCTTTCTATTATGTATACATTTGAATGGTGCAGCAAGATTCACAAGCTAATGTGCAAAATTACTTTCTCAGAAATTAAATCATTATTACTTGTGGCAGGGCTGAATTGTGGTCCGTTGTCTTATTCCATGTGTCTAATGCATTGACCCTAATCTGAAGGATCATTAATTCTAGTCACACA